GCTGTTGCTGTTGTTGTTGCTGTTACCTTTAGGTACTGTGTGATCCCTCTACTTGTGAATCCCCGAATTGTCACAGACACCGTGACGCTATCCGGGCTGTGTTGCTCTTGCATCTTCGCAGAGAATGACGAGAAGCTCCTTTGCAGCCACAAGGATGACAAGTATAACACATTATATTATATTGCGTATAATTATAATTTATTACGTTTTATTATATGATATTCATATATTAATATTATACTAGATTCTATATTAGTTATATCATATTATATTATATTATACTGTATTATAATATTATATATTACATGTTATATGTTATATATTATATATTATATATTATATATTATATATTATATATTATATATCATATATTACATATTATATGTTATGTATTATGTATTATGTATTATATTATATATTATATGATATATTACATTATATATTATATTATATATTGTTATATATTATTTTACATATTATATTATATTATATTATATTATATCCGGTGCCTGCAGGCGGCAGACCAATGCTCGCAGACTTTGGCCTAGCATGCACCGCAAGCGATAGTGAGGACTGGAGGGGAGCCCTAGGAGTTTCATCGCCGCGTGACACCTGCAGATGCCTGTGTCTTTCTTTGCATATCTCTTGAAGGTTGAAGCTTCCCTGGGTTGAAGAAAAACAAGTCTGTACTACTTCTTTCGGATGCCTGAAGGAAACTCGCAAGCGAGTCGGTTCGCCTGGCTACATTCCTCCGGAGGCCCGTTCAAACCCTCCGAGAGTGCACTGGAAATCAAATGTCGACGTGGCTCGGTGAGGTACCGAGTTGAGTGCCAAACCAGTAGTCCAGAATGCATCTCTCTGTAGGTTTCCTGGTTCTGGCTGTTCAAGTCCCAGAGAAAGCAAAGGGAACTGTAGGGGACCTGTTGTGCTTCTGTCTGGCGCTTTTTGTTCTGAAGTTGTGATTTGATACTTGTGTCCTTGCTCGTCCTGTCGGCGGCATGGATACACGAGTTCTGCCTCGCCCATTATCTGAAACTGAATTTTCAGACTATTCATTCATGCAAGATGTTTACGATATGCTTGACTGAAAAATCCTGCATCGTGTGCCGGATGCACGGCCTTCTCTGCGTACAGCAGGCAGCAATTTATACAGGATATGGTGTTAAGGTTTTGGTTTTAGGTAGTTCAGCTCACCAAAATCGCGACATCTAGCAACTGACATGCTTTCTGCTTTCATGATGGCAATTGAATTTAGTAGCTCCCTAGAAAGCAACTGAGAGTCCCCATGTACCTCTTGAGTACGTTCTTTTCATGAAAAAGTCTAACCCCAGGCCTGGCTCTTCCTCGATAGTGTTGTCATGTGTGGTGCGGCATAGGATCCCTTGTTTCTGGCTGCAAGCAGGGGGTGAAAACTTTGTGGTGCACAGCGACAACCTTATATTCGACAAGTTTCCGGTGGCTCCGACTGGAAATGGCAACAAAATCAATACGCACATGCTCTCGTGTAGAATCTCGCATCGGAGTTTTTTTCTTCTCCACTTTCGCACGGTGAAAACAAGATTTTCCGCAAAGCAAGTGGTGATAAAGCACGCGGGCACCCTGGGCTGGGTGGTGACCGGTCTGCAGGGTTCTATGAGGAAGCTTCCAGGGTTTAGAAGGGCTTTTACGGGTTCTTTCGCAAAAAAGCGCAAGAAACGCGCCTAAGCCCTAGACCCCTAAACCCCTAAACTAGCCAAACTCTAAACTGGGCCCTAAAGACCTACAACCGAGATCCGAAGCCCCAGGGGCTGACAAAGAGGCGACGAAAGTGCGGACTTTGCCTTGCCTCATTGCCTCTTTGAACCCAAGCTTCAATGCCTTAAATTTTAGAACGTATACTCGTAGCATGTGATAAGATAATAATAAGCCCGGAATGGGGGGTACCCCACCATCTGCCCGCGGCCCGATCTAAAATCGCCCTTTGAAATTAAGACTTTATCACCCAAAATACCGCCACCCAAATCCAAAAAATCTCGCCTCAACCCTAAAGCCCAAACCATAAGACTGCAAACGTTTATGGTTCAGGCACGAGTCCGGCCAAATTGCAAAGGTTTGTAGTTTAGGCCCCAGTTCTGTTTATGCCTGAAGTTTGAAACGTAAAGTATGCTGTAAGTGCAGAGTGACACAGTGCTGCTCATGGACAAAGTTGGGAGATGCTGATCGGCAGGTGCTGCAGGGAGGTCGCTGCACGACCAAGGCCAGGACTCAGCATCCGAAGGGGCCCCAAACCCTAAACCCTTAAAGGTTTCGAGATGTTTCGGGTTTAGGGTTGACCCTTTCGTTTTGCTCGGGCTAGCATGGTGTAGGTGCGTTTTTCAGCGAGGCGCATTGCGAGAACGGGTAGCCTTGTGTGTCAACAGTGAGGGGCAGCACCGAACGGAGCATTATGCGAAATTTGGGGATTGAGACATGCGGTCCTTGAACTTCACCTTTCAATAGAAGGGAAGCAAGGGCGTTCGTATGCGGATTCAGAGTTGTAAAGCTCCATGATGAAGCACAAAACTACCGCTCGTGAGTCTGAAACGCTCATCGTGTCGAGCCTGCAGGCAGATGTGTTCGCCGCGGGAGCGTGCCAGCCTCAATCTTGCCAGCAAGTGGTCCCGGTAGTCGTCAAACAGATATGCAAGCGTATGCAAGAGCAGCGCTCGCAATTCAAGTTTTGGCACTATTGGGGGGGGGGGGCGGGAGTAGCGTTGAAGCTAACGCATCACCTGTCCTTCTTAAGTTTTAGTCCCACCATCCTCTGCCACGTGCTCACCATCGTCATCACTGTCACGCCTGCAGCAACACCTACACCATCATCATCATCATCGTCATCATCACCAACATGATCTTCAATGTCATCAGCACCATCAGCAGCACTTTATCCTTGACAATACCCGAGTATGAGCATCATGTTCCAAAAACTGGCGGCCAAACCCGCTTCCATGCTTATCGCCGTCTCGATAACCAGAACGGCTGTCACGATAGTAGTCATTAAGCATCATGATGCACAAAGGTTTACTTGCTCGTTCATGCTAGTAAGATAGTAGACACGAATAACGAAGTAAGCTGAATCGTAGTTAGAATCATTCTTCTCACTGTACGAAGCCTGAGATGCTGTTCTGCCCCACGCTCCCCTTCTCTTCGCAGTTCGATAAGTGGCTTTGCAGAGGACCCTTCACTTTGCCATCTCCGGCAGTGCCCCTTTCGTGGGCAAGGACATGGCTGGGCCGCCAGGGGAGTGATGGGTGGGTGCCCGGAGACATCGAGACGCTTGGCTCCCAGGCAGCCACCTTGCACAAGACGGTGACTGACAAGGCCATTTGGGAAGGTGATTAACGCAAGGAGGCTTTGGAAGCAATTCCTGGAAGGTTTCCTATGATGGTGATCTGTACAGCAAGCTGAGTCTCTGCCCAAGCTTGATCAAGCTCTAAGGTTCTAGGTCAAGCAAGCATTTCCGAGGTCCGGCATTGAAGGCGTTTGCGCTTCTACTGTTGCCTCGGCCTCAGATGCTGTTGCCTTGAGGCAGCCACTGCTAGCAGTGCATAAAGCTGTGAGGTCAAAAACAACAGCAGAGCGCCCGTCTGCTGAACAGGCAGCCGAAGCAGTGTTTCAACTGCATTGATGCATTCAATGAAATGTGATGTCCCTATCGCCAGGCTTTGAAGCATGAGTGGTTCAGGGGAAAGGGCGCGCCATCGGGTAAACCCGGGGGCAAGCCTGCTCCTCAGCGGGTGTTGATGCCTGCCACGAAGTAGCATCGATCCCCTGCATGCAGAGAACGCACAACATGCAGCCTCGCAAAATGGCGAGATCAGCTTGCCCAATTGTCCGAGGCCTCCAGAATCCTCGAGCTTGACCCCCGCTCCGCCTCCCTCAAGGGGAGGCACTTACCGGCAATCCTAAACCATAAAGGTCAATACCTGGCATACTTTATGCGTCGTCCTGAGCTGCTGAGCCCCGAGTAGTTGATGGCGTTGATGATCTTGCTGTTTCCCGTTTGGGTTTTTCTGCCCCAGTTATGCGCAATGTGCTTGTGAACAGCCCCGAAATCAACGTGTATGCAACTTAGTGGGTGGGCTTTAAGCCGGGATCCGTTAGCTTGCTATTGTTTCTGTGGTATTGCATGGTATTGTTGCAGTTGATCATCATCGTTGTTGGTTTGCTGCTGTGACCCTGCGGGCAGCAAATATGTTTACTTCTGTCCATGTCGTTATCATGACGTCCTCCTTGCCTGCGAAACTGCCGCTGCTGCGACTGGAGCAGCCTGTACGCATGTTAACTTTGGTTTCGTCAGTTCGACTACCAGTAGCTCCTGCGACAACCAAAACAGCAACGACAACAACACCAACAACAAAACCAGCAGTAACAGCATTAGCAGCAGCAAGAGCAAGAGTAAGAGCAACAGCACGAGCACGAGCAAGAGAAAGAGCAAGAGCAAGAGCACCTGCTTCTTGTGTTCTGTGCTTTGCAGATTGTGAAGGGACACCTCGTAAGTGCAACCTGCTCCCACAGAGGCACGTCCCTCCATTCACAAAACCAGAAATCGAGCCGCTGTACACCCGAGCCCCTTCTGCTCCAGATTGTGGATGGGGATGCGCCCTGGAGCGCGGAGCATTGGGTCTGCCAGTGCTTCTAACCTCTAGCAAAGCAAAGCAGAGCAAGAGCAACAGCAACATCATGAGCACGAGCACAAGCAAGAGCAAGAGCAACAGCAACAGCAACAGCAACATCATGAGCAAGAGCAAGAGCAACAGCCATAGCATCAGCAACAGCACGAGCAACAGCAAGAGCAACAGCAGCAGCAGCAGCAGCAACAGCAGCAACAGCAGCAGCAGCAACAACATCATCATCATCAACAACAGCAACAACCGCAACCGTTACTGCTACGGCTACTGCTACTCCCTCCGATTGCCACCACCACCACTACTTCTGCAGCTACTACTCCTGATGCAGCTGCAGCAGCTGCTGCTACTACTGCTGCTGCTACGATGACTACTGCTGCTGCTGCTGCTACTAGTACTAGTACCAGTACCAGTACGACCAGCACCAGTACTAGTACTGGTACTGGTACTGGTACTTCTACTAGTGCTACCAGCAGTACTAGTACTACTAGTACTACTAATGCCACTAGCACCAGCAGTACTTCTAGGACCACTGGTACCACTAGTACCATTCGTGCCACTAGGACGATTAGTACCATTTGTACCACAAGTACTAGCACTAGCGCTCGTGCTAGTACTAGTGCTAGTACGGAGACTCCTCATTCAGAGGAAACGAAGTCATATTCAAATTAAGCGGTATGATATGGAAATTGTCGTTGGTTCTGTACGACGACAACGACGACATGACAAGGATGACGACAACAACGCATGCTACCACTACCACTGTGCCGAGCAACAAAAGAGGTCGTAGTCGTAGTCGCACTCATAAACGTAGTCGTAGTGGTACTAGTGGTAGTGGTAGTAGCGGTGCTGGCAGTCGTGGTGGTAGTGGTAGTGGTAGTGGTAGTCGTAGGGGTAGTGGTAGTGTGACTATGCTCGTGGTGCTCTTGTGCAGGCAAGCGAGGAGGGACTCAGAAGTTCTCAGTCCACAGCTCGGCTTTACCCAGAACTGCGGGGGCTTTACAGAGACCAGCCTAGCCTCTGAGGCATCTGAACAAGCTGCAATTGGACGCCCAAGCCTTAACTGTCCCGAAGACCCTTTCTTTGGGCTTGCTTTGGCTGAGCCGAGCTCTGAGGGACCTCCGATGGAAGTGAGGTGCACTTGCGAAGTTGCTTTGAAGCGTAGCTCTCATTGATGGGGTCACCTCTACAGGCCACGACCACGGTCGATGCAGCGCGGCCCACGCACCTTGGCTTACATGGGGTCTAACGATTCATTATAGTGCCCCCTTCTGTTCCTCACATGCTTATAGCATGATACACCGCCTAACAGCTCTATGATGGGATTCACTCGCATCTCTGCCTCAGTGAAGCCGTAGATCAGGTCACGGCGAGGTGGGCGGCCAGTAGCACGTGGGTGCCTCAGACGATGTCATACAGGTCCCTGAAGAATGGGCAATGTACACATACATGTATATTTAAAGCGTATGTGTACATATGTCCATATAAACATACATACAGGTTTACGTATATACATGTATACTTTTGTAACGAGAGTACATATAAACACACACATATATATATATATATACAGATACACACACACATATATATATATATAGAAACATACATACATACATACATACGTACATACATACGTACATACATACATGCGTACATACATATACATATACATATACATATACATATACATATACATATACCTGTACATATACATATACATATACATACACACACATATACATATATACACATACATATGTATGTATGTATGTATGTA